GTCAAAATAATCTAACGGCTATATCTTACCGCAACTCCCCTCTTAAACGCGAAATTTTTAAGGCTTTCATAAACACTTCTTAGACAACTAATAACAATAATATTTAAATTATAATAAACGCCTTTTAATATTTTATACTTATTAAAATACTTCCCTTGTTTGAAAAATATAACCTTTTTAAAATCTAACTGGACAGACTTCTAAAACCCTTAAATAACTATATATTTGTCCGTCGCTACGTGTGCAAAAAGATTACCTATCAGACATAATAAGAACAAATTGTTTTAATAATATATTTTAGTTATTATATTGTTTTTTGTTTTGTCAGTGTTGTTTTGTAGCTTCAGCGTGCGACTCTCATCCCTGAGGTCGTAGGTTCAATCCCCGGCTGTGCACTAATGGACTTTCTTTGTGCGCATTTAACGGTGAAGGAAAACATCGTGAGGAAACCGACATGTCTTACACCCAAAAAGTTGACGGCGTGTGTCAGGCACTGGAGGCTGATCTCTATGCCTATTACATTTAAAAGTGATCATGAAACAGATTCAGAAATCTGAGGCCCAGACCTAAAGAGGTTGTAGCGCCACTGATTATTTTTTGTTGTTTTTAATTTATATATTTCATTTCGAATAAACTTACGTAGAGTTACTTCTGTAGTATCAAAGAAAATGTAGTATATACGTCTTATTCAAAGAAAAAAATAACAAAAACTATTTAAAATATTGCATAGAAGTCAATTGTCATTTGCATCGTTCAGGTATAAACAGCTTAAGCCCGAATTTTCATTTCGCGAAAAAAGCCGTTTTTCTTTTAATTCCGAATGACGTTCGTATAATTGCATTGTATCGCGTGCGGTCTGTTCACGTGTCGGAGTTCTGCTGCTGACCAAACTCTGCTTTTGGGGTTATTTATTACACCTTTTTAATTTGTACTTGTCTTTTGTACTTGAATTATTATATTTTTACGTTATTATTCTGCTAAATCTTTAATTATATAGCAGATAAAGGAGGTCGAATAAAGTTGAGAGAATTTGTAGTCTGTGCCACAGTCATTCTGCTAATGTATAAAATATCAACGTACCTACGTCACTTATGCCTCAACTTATTTATATTTGTACAGATACATTTTAAAGATTGTAAAGGACATATAATTATTTAATTTAATTTAATACTTATACTTACATTAATATTTAATACTTGTAATAATTAGTCGTAATTTGTTAAAATTTAAGGTTATAATTCAGGTCTTTATATGTACTATGATATTTGCACGGATTCGACCACTGACAAAACAGGTGATATATCTGACACCACTTGACAACGGTTTGACATAACTTAAAACATGGATTTGAAAAGAATTTGAAATTTACTAATTAATTACTTTACCGTTTTACGAAAGACATAAATGAACTAATGACTAGGCGCCATGGGCGAAAAGAAAAAGAAATGTACGAAGGATGTAATCGTTGTTAGAGTATTGATTAGTATTCTTTATTTTTTTTTAATTTTAGCTCCGAAGTTGCGACAACTTTAATGAAATTACAAACAAATCCTGTCTCCTACAATATCGGGTATCCTATTATTCATAACACGAAGTAATAACAACACGGTAAACTTATTTTCTATTCTGTTTTATAACTGCAACGATAGACAGGCAATAAATGAGCTCCCCGAACTTATAATTGCTTCATTTCGTTGCCGGCTGCCACAAAACTACAATTGCAATTGTCTATGGTACATAAATTTCGAGTTATCGATTCGCGTCGAAGTGAAAAACCGACAGAAACTAATCATCGAAGCTACTAATGGCTCCTGTCAATGCATTTCAAAATGGAATCCAGCCCACGTCTATATATAGACAAATTCACCGCCAATTTCGCTGTCAACGTCATTGTCATGTTTTCGAATTTCAAATGCAAAACTATGCAGTTCACAGTCATTGTAAAAGATATGCAATGAATACTGCGCTCACAGCGTATTTTTATACGCGGTTTTCTGATCACGCATACCTGATTGACGATATGACGTCTGTTGTCAATCAACGCTGGCTCGTAAAAGCACCGCGACAATTGTTGTGAATATTTATGAATTGTTGCTGATGTCGTGACAATCCGCTAAATGGCCGATAAATTTTCCCATTTTAATTCCAATAGATGCGGCGCTGTCCGTCCTCGCCCGTCATAATTCGAATGAAATGTAAAACGAATAGACCGAAATCTCTTTTGGAGATTCAAAACTCACTCCGGCTGTTCAATCATTCACGTCATTTATCATTTTTCCTCGAAATGAAACTCGCTTCGAACTATACACTGAGCAATAGATGTGGAAAAAGAAAAACTCACCGTAGAAGCTATCCGTGCGTCTTTTTTGTTTTCAACAGTTGGTATTGCAGAATCGCCGTCCGAAATCGGAGAGTGCTCGTGTCGTCGGGCATTCTTTATGCCCGGTGGCCTTTTAAATTTCGCCGGCTAATAACGGTAACCCGCCAATTCTCATGTTTGACCAGTTTGACAGATAGCCGACATGGATTCCACTTTGTGACGGCAAAATGGCGTATTATACCTTTTTATTCGTTCACTTGTCTTTCATCACTTCTTTTGTGATTGAGCCTTGTACAAATTTATGACGATGGATTGTCAGGGGACGAATTGGATCAGTTTTGTTACTTTATTAGATTTGAGTACTTGCCATTGACGTTCCTTCCCATTGTTTTGTCTGCGTGATCGTTTTCTTGTGTGATGTTTGGCTTAATACGTTTCTTTTGTGACGAGGCTTTGGCTGTTACTTTTGAATATTGACATTTCGATATTGGAATTTAGGGACTGTCATCTGTGTCAGATTTTGATACATTTGCATAATAATCGACCGTTCTTTTAACTGATGCTATGCATTTCATTCCTTTTGGGTTGTCAACAAAAATCCAGCAATAAACCCGGCATCTCGGAAGTCAAATGCATCGATTGCAACCCGCCTTCCTTTTTCATTCGATGTTATTGCTATTTTGATAAGCTGTCCTCCCTTTGATATCTGCATCGCCACTTGAAATGAAAACAATCTGGTATTTTGCACAGTATATCTGGCCCTAATTCTCCTCCTCAGCATAATGCTGAGCCAGGGCCAATTACAGCCACAGCACACACGCATTACACACTTGAAAAGAACCGAATGGGGGGAATAGGGAAAACATTTTTTATAGATCTCATTATACTTTTTTTTTATTATGGTTATTTTGTGTGTTATGTCTTTGTCTAACAACACTGTTAACACGGAACAACTATGACCATTTGGGTCCGACAAAATCAGACAATCGGCGAGCCGTGCAAAAAGACTAGTAATTAAACTAAAAAGCGTCCCAATAAAACCTCTAACTGTGACGGCCGAAAACATAATTGTCTATAGTAATGATTGTAGGTAATTGGCGAACTCTAACCCTTCTGAGGAACCTTTGCGCTGTCCAAACTATGGGCGGAAGCGGCGACTATACAGGCAATATTCCATGTGGATTATAGCTACATTAAAACTGAGTTTTACAGTAATATGTTATAATATATCCTAAAAATTAAGTAGTAGGAATATGACAACGCAAAAGAAAATAATAATAATAGCACAGCTTCACAAGACACTTTCTTTTCCGATCTAGCGAACTTTGGAATCGACTCCCGGTCTACCCTGGAAGATACGACCCCCAATTGTTTTAAGTATACTCCTTCCTCAAGGACCGTCAACGTACCCACTAAAAACATCTATGGGCTGCGCTGTCGTTTTTGGGCGCCCCGTAGATCTCTATTCTATAAATAAAAAACAGTCCAAGTTGTCGCTGTAAGCGTATGCCCTATGCTACACATCTAATGGCGGTCAACGCAGGCCGAATTAAGACAATAATTACACGCGGTTCTGTCCGGACTAAATTTCGTTTAATACTTTTTATGTTGAGTTGACCGTTACGTACATTTAACAAGCATTAGCTTGTTTACAGAGTTTTATTGCTGTAGGGAAAACATGCTATTTAGTTTAACTAAAACAGCAGTGGCACTGCAACCTTTTTAGGCCTGGGCCTCAGATTTATGTATCTGTGTCATGATTTGTCAATCTAATAAGTATACCCTCGACTTTTTGGGTCTCGCTAGCCAGTTTCCTCGCGATGTTTTTCTGTCACCACTCAAACGAGTGTCAAATGCGCACATAGCAAGAAAGTCCATTGGTGCACAGCCGGGGATCGAACCTACGACCTCAGGGATGAGAATCGCACGCTGAAGCCACTAGGCCAACGCTTTTCATATTATCACATATACATAATACAATAATTCTATGTATTTCTTTTCTATATAAAAAAGTTGTCACTCACTGTTATATATGTCACAGAGCCTTTCATTTAAATCAATAGAACTCACTCATGTATGGAAAAGTGCAGCTAATTAATTGATAATTAGTTACTTACTGATTTAAGTAAACAACAAAAGAAGATTATGTTCAATTTATTTAAACAGACAGAAAGAATATGGTGCACATAGCTCGTTGAAACCACTAAGCCAACACAGCTCTATTTATTGTTGTTATTATATTTGAATTTGAATAAAATTAAAAACATATTTTTCATTATAATTACATTTTATTATTCAACCTTGAATATTCTACAATTTAATTAAATAATTGAATAAAAGAAATAAATGTCTTAACCAAGCGTGGCAAATATATGGCGGTAATTATCATATTATATCAATATCTGATTATTTTAATCATTATTTTATAGTGGGTTATTAAATGTGATAATAAATGAGTCACTGACTGAAAATTTTTTGCGTCTTAGAGCGTAGTTAAGGAAGTTCTAAATGAATACTTTAAAATATATAACTATATATTTTTACATATTCAATTTATGTTATCTGATACAATATTAATCATACTATATCCTCATACCACCAAATACTAATTGAATTAAAAATAATGAATACATTCATTTTATAGTTTTCGAATAGTAAAGGAAACCGAAATCCATGCCTTATGGAATTAAGTCCTACGACTAAGAACTTACTTAAAAGGCCGGCTACGCTGTCGCGACCCATCTGGCAGTGTCCATGGACTGTAACATCAGATGAACCTCCTGTCCCGTGTCCGTGTGTGTGTTATATACAAATATATACCTAAGTGAAAAAGTAATACTGAACCAATAGGATTGGAAGAGATTCGCACTTTTCATATGTCAAACTCAAGGCCTTGTCAAAATTTGTTTATATTACGATATGACACATTTGACAGCTGCAAACTCAACTATCATAAAGATAAGGTTCATTTTGCCGTAGCACTGAATGGATTAACTTGTCTATCATTAATTTTTTATTGTATTAACAATGATATAGTTATTTTCGGTTTCTCAGAACAAGACGGGAAGACAAAACTTTAAGTTTTTGATTCAATTACCTAATTATATTTAATATATAAAAATACTCTAAATTTAGCACTGTTAATGAATACTCAAATTTTACGAACGAATAAAAACAATTAGAGAGAGACTAATTATTTTGATTGAGAAATTTGAGGTCATATTTGGAACGTCACTGTTAGTTTAATAATCACAATTACACGATTATTACAAAGAAAAATCCAGTACATGTCAGCGGCAATTGTAGTCTGTGACTACAGAGTAAATAACACTACAGCTATATGCGTCACTCGCGAGTCAGACTTCCGTTGCATACGATATGCATCTTCACGGTCGAATGCGGCCGGCACCTGGAACAATTGATATCTTCCGAAGGTCAGACAATTACATACCATCCGCGGTCGTGAAAATATTGTGAATCAAATGAAAAATATTCGTGTAATGAGGTTTAAGTCTTCACAATTCTGACGTTTCTGTAATCTGTGGAAAAAAACTAAATATTTATTATCTATGAAATAGTTATAATCTGTTTCTCGATGTTTATATAGTCATATAAAAGACTAATTGTCAAGGTGTTCCAAAATATTATATATATATTATGTGTCACTCAAGGCAACAATACGTCAGCAAGTAATAAACTAAATCACATACAATGCTTTGTATGTGATAAGTTTGATACCTAATTATTTTATGTGTGTTATAAAATACGATTTTTTATTTTTTACGGCTTAATTCTCCGGATTTTACCTGTAATCACGAAATATTTTTATCTAATGCAGTAAAGATTATGTAAATAACACTAATTAAATATAACAATGTTGATAATAAATGACACAGAAATGATATCTCAAAGAATCTATTTTCACGAAAACTTTTTAAATCAATGTTTTGCGCAGAAATTTTGACATATAAAGGAATTCGCTTTTCTTTTGATAACATAGAGTCGTCATATTGTTACAGTATATTATAATAATAAATAAAAAATTGTGCGTGCACTAGGTGTACACACGTAAGAAGTGAAACTAAGAAATAAGATCTTATTTTTCGAAAAATTATCTACTATATGCAACTTTACAGAAATTCGTTAAATTAGATAAAGTTTAACAAAAGGCTTTTATTATCATAGACATGAATACAAATATTTCATTTTACCTTATTACTACGAAGATTATTATAGAATTTCATTAATTGTAATAGAATTATTACTATCATTGAAAAACGTGACGATTTGCTAAAAAATTTCTCCCATACGTCGATAAAGAAGTTTCATTCCAACGCCGATAAAGAAGTTTGACATCAAAAAGCAACATGGCGCGTAACCGAAAAATGTGACGCGTAACGAAAAAATGTTACACTAATTTTTTTTCCAACCCCGATAAAGAAGTTTCACTTCAAAAATACCTTAGTAATTAAAAACTTGTAGATTTCGGATAGAGATAGACCAGCGGTCTTCTATGGCTGACATACATGGCTTCGCACTCAAGATTTTCTACGTAATTTTCTCCTGAATCTACTATTTATTCTAAATTCCAATAAATTCTTTCATTCCAGATAGCACAATTGGTAGAAGACGTTAGGCGGTTACAAGCGTCGCTATCCGCTTTACAAGAGGCGCACGCGCAACAATTACAACGACTTGAAGAGAGGTTGGACGAGAAGAAACAGCACATAGCCAGGCTGGAAGCCAGACTCGACACCCAGCGGGACTATGATGATATCAAACGGGAGATCAGGTATTGTTCTTAGTTTCAATTTTTTTTATTTACAAATTGCGCTGCAACCTTTTAGGTCTTGGCCTCAGACTTGTGTACCTATCTGTTCCGTGATAATTTTTAATTTCTTTTTTTTTGGCATGACAGTTGACTCACGATTTTTTCACCACCGTTCGATTGGTGTTAAAAAAGTCTCATAACTAATTACGATTATACTATACCAAAGGCAAGGCACGTCTATTAGAAATTCCATCAAATCTTCCTTATTTAGCTATGATAAGACACTTGCGTGTGCTTCTCTTCTCTTCTCTGATACCCCGAAGGCATAAAATTGAAGATTTATATGTACCGGTCATTTCTTCCGAAAAGCACCTCGTTAATAAACTAAAGGCCGGCAACGCGACTGGCAATGTGAGTGCAAAACTTAACATTAGATGAGCCCCGTTATATATAAATAAACATATTAAAAAAATATTTTCTTCACGTCTTTGGAAGTCTCTTCAGACAAACCCTGGAATAACAAATGCAATTAATATAGAAAATGTTTCTTGAATGCATTTACACAGTGAGTACATCATTCAATATTGATATTAACATTTCCTAACAATACCTTTCTGTAACATTAAGTTAATTCAACTTCTTTCGTCATTTAGTTGCGCTATTAATCACACTTAGGTGATACATTATGTAGGACAAGTGCTCTATAAGGTAGCACCTATAACGCGATTTAACGTCCGCAATATAACGCGCTATTTCCTCCCTATAACGCTGAGATTTCTGTTGTGAAATTAATGATTTGTCAACTCAATAATTAGTTGTTTAAAAAACTAAATAACTTTAAATTCATTGGTCAAATAACGGTTTTACAATAAAATACTCCTATAAAGCGAATTCTTATAACGCGTTCCGGGTCTATATTCTCAAGACAGTTTTCGTTTTATATTACAACATACGTATACATACAAGTGTACCACGTCTAAAGGGCCTAGGTAGACAAAAGACTTACTAGTCTAGGTGTATCTTTCGTTTACCAATGTCGGTATAATCTTGGTCTCGTTCAAGGCCCATGCATCACGGTTGCCCAAGAGACAGCAGCATCTACAAACAAAGGGTGCATTGCCCTCACCTTATCAGTAAGCGTGTCTCCGATGGGTGCTATCTAGTTTATAAAGAAGCTGGTGTTTTGTATTCTATTCTAAGTGTATTGTGATATGGACAAACACTTTTTTATATAATTGGTGGCAAACGGGCAGGAGGCTCACCTGATGTTAAGTGATATCGCCGCTTACATTTATACAAAGAATTCTAATTAAGAAATATATCTAATATATAAAATTCTCGTGTCACAATGTTCGTTCCCATACTCCTCCGAAACGGCTCGAACGATTGTTATGAAATTTTTAGTCATATTCAGTAAGTCTGAGAATCGGACAACATTTCACCCCCTTAAATGTTAAGGGTGGTCCCACCCCTAATTTTTTTTTTTTAGACAAAACTTTTTGTTTTTATTTTTTTATGATACACCATACAAAAACCTTTAATTGTCACCCCTCTACGATAAACCCCTATTTTTCATATAGTTATTTTTACTGAACTAAAAAAATTGTAATAATATATGGCAAAACGACGTTAGCCAGCTAGTATTTGTATATAGTTAGATAATGTTAGACAGTTAATATTAAAGTATATTTCTTTATAACGGAACAATTAAAATGCACAATATTTCATAACACTGATCTTAGTATATGACCCTTCGTTTGACTGATAAGGAGAAGGAAGGCGCCTCACGGCTCACATATTATACTGATTATCAAGATATACACACAAATATAATATAGAAGCTATTGGGAACTTCGCAATGCGCGCAGCTTCCGGTAAGATTCTACCTAAAGATCCTTTTTTGGTAAATGTTTTCACGCTATTAATGAAGAGAATATATTTAATTTTTGGACTAAGAAAATCTAACTATTAATCCAGCGAGTAGGGGTTCAGTCTGGTGCCCACAACTTTGTCAGTCACGATGAGTTTTCTTGGCTTTCTGGATCTCTGCGTGTTACGTGCCCAATTAAAAATAAATAAATCAGTGGCGAGTGACCTTTTTAGGTCTTGGTCTCAGATATCTGAATCTGTTTCATTATAATTTTTTAATCTAATAGGCAAGTAGGTGATCAGCCTCCAGTGCCTGACACACGCCGTCGACTTTTTGAGTCTAAGACATGTCGGTTTGCTCACGATGTTTTCCTTCACCGTTCGAGCAAATGTTAAATGCGCACATAGAAAGAAATTCCATTGGTGCACAGCCGGGGATCGAACCTATGACCTTAGGTATGAGAGTCGCACGCTGAAGCCACTAGGCCCACTCTGCACATGGCCAATTACTTAGCTTTAATCTAAAGGACTGAGGAACAAAATTTGATTTTAAATGCTTTATTAATTAACATGTTATTGGTAAATTATGTTTCCCATGAGCAGGAAACCAAAAAAAGTTGGGAGCGATTTAGTAAATCAATATGAGGACAAACACGGGTGTAGGCTAAATTCCATATCTTGAACCGTTTAGCGTATAGATGATATGTTTGCTGGGACTTTGTCGCAACTAAAAAAATGGACCACCGTTTTTGGTCCAAAATTGTGATCAAATCTAAGCTAAGCTAAAGTTTGACTTACTTGTTTACTTGACTTAAAGTCCTATGCCCCCAAGGGGCGCAGAGGGCATCCAGCGAAAGCCATCCTGATAGGTCCTGGTCTCGTTTAATATCCACGTTTGCGAGACTTAAATTCAATATGCTTTTAATAAATTGAATTAATATTTTTTTGACAAATGGTAAACACAATTTCGGTGTAAATATATTCTTAAAGTTATTTTAACCTTCATAATAAAAAAGAAAAAATTTATTCGCATTAAAATTATTAAAAATGGCGCATAAAAAAGTAATAAATTAATTAAAATTCGCAGAAAAACCTTGTTAGACCTCATAACATTACATAATCTTAAATAAATTGTACTTCATACGTATTTATGAAACTGCCGAGTATATAAATTTGATGTTTATCATTATACATAACTTGATTAGAATTATATTGTACTTGACTGCAATAGCGTGCATTGTATGATGCTAATTTTGTTGAAATTTCCTTAGTAATTACAAATGGGTCTACAGTCTTATGAAGAATTTAAATTTCGAATATGCTATAATCTATGCTCACGACTTTAAAAAAGCGCGAAATTTAAATACAGAATTATAAATTAGTATTATCTATATTGCACATTTTACGTAACTGGTAATTGGTTATCACAAAAGGGCCTACACTCTTATGCAAATTTGAATTTGGAATATGGTATAATTTATACTTTTAAAAAGCGCTAAATTTAAATACAGAATTATAAATTAGCATTATCTATAGTGCACATTTTACGTAACTGGTAATTGGTTATTACAAATGCAAATAATCTCATGAGAATTTGTATTTCGAATATGCTATAATCTGTGCTCACGACTTTTAAAAAGCGAGAAATTAAATCACAGAATAATCAGTTTGCATTATCTATAGTGCAAATTTTATGTAACTGGTAATTAGTAAAAACAATGGGGCCTACAGTCTTGTGAAGAATTTGAAATTCGAATATGCTATAATCTGTGCTCAAATCAGACTTTTAAAAAGCGCCAAATTTAAATACAATAAATTAGTATTATCTATAGTGCACATTTTACGTAACTGGTAATAAACAATAGAAAAAAAATATGAATGATTATCGAGATAATGAATTGAATTCCGAACGAACTCTTCAAGAAGCAAGTGACCTATAACATTCGTCCAATAAATCACTCACTCGTTCAAAAGAACTGCTTTGTCTACACTTCCTTTCAAATTGTTTACGTTGCGGTATTGAGACGTTTGCGTCATAATGTTTTACAGCGTTCCTAATTGCGTGTTAAGGGCTAGAATAATAAAAACAATTGACTGTTGACAGTAAATAGGGTTGTTTTACGTTAGATATAGGTAACGCAGTGTCACAGTGAAAGAAATGCGCTCATAAAAACAAAGTCCATTAGTGCACAGCCGGGGATCGAACCTTAGAATATACAGCTTAAATTTGTTTTATCCTAGCTTCCTTCAGTACAATCGGAACCCCTTCACGGGTAAATGTCTCCTCACTGACGAATATCACTGGAGTATTATTAATGTTATTACTAGTACAGACTACCAAAGTTTTAAACAGCTAGAATTCTTTTCTATATTCAAGTCAGTAACACAGACTAAAAATGTTTACTTCACAGATTAGGCTGCTCATTGATTAAACTATTTGTCAAAGTAATAATTGACATCTTATCAGTTTCTCACGTGTTTCTCAGTAATCGAGCGGAAGACGGCATCCTCTGATAACGCTATTAATGAATTGTATAAACAATTGGGATTGATGGGATCACCTGTCTCAGGTATCAATAACCCACGAGAATGTAAGTGCGTGCTCCTATTTCACCATGCCTCCTGCTGATAGAGGACAAATCTTTCTTTTTAATTTATGTTATTATTATTAATTACTTAAAATGTCATGTGGAACATGGTTTAATGGTTGCAGCTCCTTACAAGCGTTGTGTAAAACAAAAAACTTGGCGATTAAAAGAGTGGCGGAGAGTTTATTGCCAGTTCTTCTCTTCTTATTCGTTCTACGCCCTTGATTTGAGTACTGGAAGTAAATGTAATATTAGAAGCATTTAATGTAAATTTCTTTTTAGACGTTCATAAGTGAACATTGTGTTACCTATATGGATAAATGATTTTGATGTTTGAATACATATTTTCAATAAGCAGAAATAGGACATTTATGGGGCAATTTTTGCCACACCTAAGTTATAATAGGTACTAGAGCAATATTAGACCCGGCTGTACACCAAGGGATTTTCTTTCTATGTGCGCATTTAACATTCGCTCGGACGGTGAACAAAAAGTCGACGGCGTGTGTCATAGGAGGCTGATCACTTTTGCCTTTTTGACATTTTGACATTTGACAAATGATCATAACATAAACAGATACAGAAATCTGAGGCTCAAACTTAAGAGGTTATAGCGCCACTTTAATATCGAACATATTAGTGTAAAATTTCCCCCTTATATCGTAAATAATTGAATAGTGTTGAAGATAGTTCAAGAGACACCCTAACATGTCTTTATTACAAACCCAACGACAGCGTATAAATAGCGATAACACGTAACCAATGTTTTTCATAGTTTAATGTGTTATTTTTACCAATATGGCGACCGATGGGCGGTCTCTTTGATCCATCAAAGGACGTGTGACATCAAAGACACCGACAGATGCGACATAAAATAGCGCCTGCGCATACGTCGTTAATAAAAAATACTATATTTATCTTAATCGATTCGATAACTGTGCCGAATATTGTGGCATGTAAACAATACTTTGAAGTCCGCTTTTATGAGTTCGTAAATGTGTGAGAACCTTAAAAAGTTCTGTCTAAACGTGTATGACAGAAATGATACTATTAAAAACGCATAGGCAGACGTGCAAAATCCACAAATCAATGTTGTTTTATTTGAAATATTCGTGCCATTCACCCTCGCGTTCCTTTTGACATCAGAAAACTATCGACTTACACGGAAACTGATAGATACCGAACACAATAGAAAAAGAAAATCCTCCCCGTTTCAATTATTGCTGAGGACACGCGAACATTTGTCGATGTTCCCATGATCAAGCAACCGACTCTATTATCGCCGAAAAATAATCCTTCGTAATCTGTGCCCGAATATCACGATATTTAATCTGTGCTCAATAGAACCGTTCAGAGCACCTGTAGCGGTTTATTGCTTATTTAAAGCGTTTCTCAAGTTGGGATTAAGTTATTGCCAACCTCCGAAGATTAAAGCTTAATGGAGGGATAGATTGATTTCTAGACGATACCAAATCTCGCTTAATGCGGTGATCGAGTGTTCCCTTTTTGAATTTTGATTGCGATTCCCAGATTCGAAATTCAAATTAGATCACTGTTCCACCTGCTATTTGTTCGCTCGTGTTTGATTTAACTTTATGAAGGAATGTTGTAAATCTTATACTTTTCCTAACGCATTGTGTACACTAACAGTTTACAATGTTCATTTTGAAAGAAAAGTCCCTCGAATATGATATTTTAAATGTTTATTGCTCTAAGTCAACAGTTAGACGTTTAGTTACATTGTTGACGCACAGAATAAAGGATTGTAATGTCATAAACATAAGAACCACAGATGTAGTCGCAAAGACTTTTTAACGTTGACGCACTAAGAAACTGAAAGCAAATAGGAAAGCTTCGCTTATCTGTTTAATTAAAAACTAAACACACAAGATTTACATATAACCTGCGCCGGGTAAATACACTATATACTATATATCAATAAGCCTATCGTGGACACCTGTCTCCATTTGCTTAGGCGATGTTTGTCTTATACTTAACGAAAGTTTAGTCGCACACAAATTATCAACTAATTTACGCTCCCCGACATTTTTTGGTGTCATAAACTAAGCTTTTTATTCTGTTGACTCTGTGGGGAACGCGGTGTGTCAATATGGGTCGAAGTCAGCGTCAGGTTGACAGCCGATGCGTTCGAAAGGCGTGACGTATTGACCAATCGATTGGGTCGTGATTGGTCAGCGGGCTGTGGGCGGGGCTGACCGATGATTTGAGTGATAAGGTTTGAGTGACGTCAACGTATTGTTCGATTCGTTGCCTTATCGATGGGAATGCGAACTGAATGGAGATAAGGCGAGCTGATAAGGCATTTGTTTCTTGGATTGGCAATATGCCATTGTTTTGCGTATTGCGTTGTACGGTTGACTCGTAATTGTAGTGATTTGGGATATTGTATTCCTCCATTGAATGTTTCTTTCTGTCACTTCTACCTAACTTTTATTTATATCTTCTTTTATTATACTTCGTACGCAAATCCTTACACACGAATAATATGAATTTAGAATCTGGTAATTGACGCGTTGTGTTGCCTGTGAACGAACATAAATCAATGGCACTAAAACCTTTTAAGTCTGGGGCTCAGATTTCTGTATTCATGACGATTTGTCAATCTAATAGGCAAGTAGGTAGCCTGTTCCTGACACAGCTCATGTTAAATGCGCACATAGAAAGGCCATTGGTGCACCGCCGGGGATCGAACCTACGACTGACGAGAGACGCTGAAGCCACCACACTGCTCGATATTGCCTGCGAACTTGCGATTAAATTAAACAAAATCAAACAATTTAATTGCTAAATAACTTCAAACTAAACTGTCGTGTTACATTAACCGGCTGAACTATAAAAGATGCATAATTTTAACTTAAAAGTGTTAAGGTAAAAACTTTGTGTCACGACTTTACGACACGACGCCATGGAGTCGCCTTAACTTTCCAAAGTGCATTAGTAGCCTAATATGGTTTCAAGTTCGCATGTCGACTAGAACAGGACCTTATTTGAACTTGGCATTGTCAAAAAGCGGTCTATTTATTTGTTTTTCTCTCTCTCTTCAATTAGAAGCGGACTATCTGGTTCCACCGGTTTCTGTCCAGCGCCTGTTTTATTTGTTTACAGTAGCAGTAATACAGTACAATTAAAATAATTTAATAAAAAGGAAAATCGTTTATCGCATTTGAGCGATCTCTTCCAGACGACCACTGTAAAAAAGTTAGATGCAATAAGTAAGACTTAGAAAAGTAATGAAACTAAACAAAGAAAGGGCCAATAAAAAAGGACATGTAAAAGATCTACTGTAATTTTTCGAGAGATACGTGATTGCTACAATATTAAATTAACCCTTTCCCAATTTTTATCATTCCCACTTATCATAAAAATCTAAATTAAAAAAACTCCAATCCGACTCCACGTCACGATTGTTCTAAGCTTAAAAGCATCTCTCTTCGTCCAAAAGCCTTCAGAAGCAAATTGAATATTTTACGAGACAAAACCTTCCCATACTTGCTTGTTTTAGAATAAGTTAACACATAGTTGATTAAGAAAATTTCGTTTTAAAACTAAATTATTGTAAACACCACAATTAAAGTTCAAGTTAACTTTTACTAAGCTTTCAGAAGTAACTTACATTGTCGGCATTATTCCTATAAAAAATGGATAAATTTAACATTTATTATCAATAATAAATGTTAATTTTAATTATTTCTTTAATTAAAAGTAAAGAGCAGTGTTGGCTAAGTGGCTTCAGCGTGCGACACACATCTCTGAGATCGTAGCTTCGATCTCCGGCTGTGCACCAATCCACTTTCTCTGTATAAAACTTTCGCTAGAACGGTGAAGGAAAACATCGTAAGGAAACCGGCTTGCCTTAAAAAGTCGACGGCGTTTTTCACTAGAGGCTGATCACCTAGGTATTAGAGTGACAAATAATTGAGGCCCAGGCCTAAAAAGGTAGCACCACTGTTTTTTTTAAATAAAATCAATATAGATTCGGTTTTCAATGCTAACATAAATTTCTGATCGTCTTAATTAAGAAATCCCCCACTCAATATGAACCCGTTGATAAACCAATCTATAAGCCGGTAACACCTCGTACAATATGCTGCCTTAATTACAATTTAATATATCACCAATTAAGGCTTTGATCGGTACAACCTTTAGCAGTGGAGCTATTAATACCTAAATGCTATCACAATTCCTATTCCCAATGGCCTAAGTGCAATTGTTTAGTTTTGACATTTCACACGCTCACAGTAACTTTAAATTGTCTTCGAAATTGCGAGCTTTTCAGCTTCATTGCCCTCATGTCCCAAATGATTTATTCAATTGTTTTTTTACGGAAATTGAACCTAAATTAAACAAAAGACAAAAGTTAAATTCGCACGATAATATTAATAAAGAAATCAAAGTAATAATTAGTGCAAGGGTCCTTAATAAATTGAGCCGGGAATTGATTAAAACCATTCCAGGTGAATTAATTAAGTATTTTAATTAATACGATATGCCGGTGTCCTTATTGGTAATATTCCTTTCATAAATTTATTGAGATTGAACCCTCGAGAAAGGGTATTAGCTGATAAGAGCGGCTGATAATGTTATACCTAGCGTCTGTTAACGAATTTGTGTATATTTTGGTGATACTTTCCTAAAGGTTTACGAGCTAGTATAGTTTTAAAAAGATCTTTAGTAATAATAATTTACATTTCAAATGTATGTATTTATTTCTAACTAAATGTTAGTAGTAAAATGTTAGACTTTTTGTTCGCCTGTGGATGTGGTCCCCTCTTGGATAAACACCCTCTCCAACCCTTTTCTGATGGCTCTATGCCAATAGTCTGCCAGTCTTTTCCTGCTATTACTATTAAGTCATCAGCCCACCGTATTTTTCGCCTGCCCACTCTTCTTTTAAAAAAAAGATCTATAATCCATTTGAATGAGTCTATCTCTGAACAGCATAGAAATGGCGGAAATGGACTTTGAACCAACGAAGATATTATGGATTTTCTGATAGAACATTTGACAACGCTTTATTATGAGACCTATGAACATTTACAGATGTAGAAAATAAAAGTTATTTTCCTTGTTACAGCATGCTCCGATTCTCGGAGCTAGGTCCTGAGCGACCCCACATAATACCACCACCTAAAGACATTTTTGGAAGCCAAAATCAGTAAGGATACTTTTCACAAATAGCTATTATTATTTATTGGTGGGAAATAAGGCTCTTACTCTTTTCAAAGATGGTGCTGAACCCAAACTTGGTTATTAATCATCTTGCAGTAAACCCTTATTTTGTCACTACTTTCTTTTAAATAGGTTACGTAAGCAAGCGCTTTCTTGTTACAGTCTACTACGTTCCATGGACATAGCAGAACGAGAAAGGAAAATGGAGCCTCTCCGTTCTCCCGCGCAACCCATGCGAGAAGAAAGAAACTCCACAGAACGAGAACGGAGTACGGAGCGAAGAGATACAGGTCAGTTATATTCGTTTGTGTTGACATCCGTAGATAGTCCGCGTCCGCTTCTGCGGAAAGAGTTATCCAATGGGGGCTACCCTGGTGAAGCTTATTATCAGTGTTGAGGCACGGTAGCCCTCATTCCTACCTCCGGCTCACGGACGCGCGTAACACGCTAGGGCAACGCGAACAGAACGCGCCGTCAAACGTACGCCGTGCGTCGCTACGGGCGTACGTGAACCCACCCCGCCCCCCAATACCCCGCCCCTCCTCTCACCGTGCTAATAACCGCAGGTGCCGAAGACTGGCCGTCCACGCCGCCCCCGCTCAACAACAATACGACACACCACAACAACAACGGCCCACTCCCACTACCGCTGCCGCCGCCGAGCCCTTTCCGCTTCGACGAACATAGGCCCTACCGCTTCGCAGACGACATGGGCCCGCTACCACCGGGCGCTCTCGTCGGCCGCCTAGGAGACTCTCTCATCCCCAAAGGAGATCCCATGGAGGCCCGTCTGCAAGAAATGCTCAGATACAACATGGACAAATACGCCAACTCGAACCTTGACACGCTGCACATAAGCAGACGAGTGCGAGAGCTACTCTCGGTGCACAATATTGGCCAGAGGCTCTTCGCGAAATATGTGCTGGGACTCTCTCAAGGGACCGTGTCGGAGCTGCTGTCGAAACCGAAGCCTTGGGATAAATTAACAGAGAAAGGCCGGGATTCCTACAGGAAAATGCACGCGTGGGCCTGCGACGAAGCCGCCATCATGCTCCTGAAGTCACTAATTCCCAAAAAAGGTATATATCATTTTAATTTACTCGTGGTCCAATATAACAGGTCTTATATCACTTATTGTTCCATGATGAAAAATTGAGTTGCCACCAATCGCTAATTGGTTGTGCAGTAGGTTTGGTGGTAGCTCATTCCGCATGTTTAGATCGGGACTCTGCTTTCCCCTTCGAGGCAATCTTCCAGGCGGGTAACGCCGTTATCAGTGCTTGTCAAACGCTCCATCAATCAAATACGATAGCTATTAAACGTGAACCCGAGCGATTAACCTCTCAGAACAAAAGATATTTTTGGTGGAACTTTGTTACAATTGAGCTACGCTTTCGCTAACATTTGGGTGATCATTTGCAATTTGTCAGGATATAATGATCGTCCAACACGCTTTACACTGAGTTGCCATCCATTTTTTATTTACCCCCCAAAGCATTTTATTGATAGAAATGAATCATTAGCTAGATTAGTAAACATTTGTTTTAATTTTGTTACAATTGAGTTAGTTGTATCTGTTATACCGTTTGCAAATGTTTATTAATGTAGATGTGAAAATCGCACAAGATGGCAACTCCGAGACGTCCGCACTTATGTTTTGTTTAATACATTTTTATGTTCTTTCCTTTCCAAACCTTATCCTTTTATTTGCTCCGACTCCTTGTCCGTCGCATCCTGTGCGGAAACTATCGTCAGAGATTCGAGATTCCCCTCCCTTGCTATATAAAGGGGGGTGGGGGGAATGGGTCAAGCCACTCCCAGGCGTACCGCGACTTCGATTTATAGTTTTAATACGTGTCGCTTTTGTTAATGCTGCCCGCCATTTTGTTTTAGTTTTAAAATCTCATGTACCAAAGATCTTTCTAAAATTGAGCTTATATTTTCACTATTGTGTCAAGACATGTTAACAGAAATATATTAAAAACAAGGAAGTACTTAAAACAATGAAACTAAGCAATAAAATTAAAATAATCTGAGTAATTATGAAGTTTTAAAAGAATTACATAGATAAAATCTAAGACAATAAAAAATAAATACAAAATGACAGATAATGACGAATGTTGCCATGGCTTTAAAAATGGTAGAGATTGATTTTCTGACAATATCGATTTAAGTAAGGTAATGAAGGTGGACGGTAATAACAAGTAGTAATAAGTGGTCAGAACACGCAACCGTGAGAACAGTCTTATACCGTTCATTTAATATTGAGGTATTGTCCTACTTGTTGCCGCAAGAAGGTCATCATTGACAATTGACAGTTGACAGCTGCACCTGTTGGGCTGACAGTTGAGCTCGACATTAATCTAATTTTAAATTTCGAATAAAGAATTTTTTAATAATTTATCTATGCAAGCTAGCTATGGTTTTCCGGAAGAAGTTTCTATACCTAACTTTAGTTGGACAAAGTTAGTACAAACGGAAACAACTGCTTACATAACTGTAAATAACAAAATTACCGCACTCCATTGTTTGTCAATTCTCACGACATGTATGTCCACTATATCTTTAGTTAGTATTTCTAGCGATCATACTTCAGGGATACCATTTTAGTGAAAAATTATTTTTCCAACACCTCACGCGAAAATCAAGATTGCTTTAAAACAGCTTGTGGCCTCAGAGTTCTTTATCTGTTACCTTGATCTCGGAATTCAGTAGAATAAATAAATAAAATAGTGGTGCTACAATCTTAATAGGTCTGGGCCTCAGACTTCTGTATCTGTTTCATGATCATTTGTCAATGTATGTTGTGATCAGCTTCCTGATACTCGCCGTCGTCTTTTTGGGTCTAAGGCAAGCCGGTTTCACGATGGTTTCCTTCGCACGCTGATGCCAACACTGGACTCAATCCAGTAAGAATACTTAGTAATAAACGTTTTAACATTCCCTTTATGGAATGGCTATTAAAAAGTCGAGCAATTTGTAGTCAGCAGCTAGAATTTACATCTTCATAGACAAACTATCGCTTACATTATGCATAATTGCATACTAAGGGGAAGTTTTGAAATGCGTAATTCCTAATAAAGTAATAATCGTTTTGTTTCGATAAACTTGTCATTACGCCTCACTGCTCCTGAACTACTGATGCCTGACTAATTTTTATAACAAAAAATGTGTATGCACTTATTAGATTACAGTCAATTACCGCCACCGCCCAGACTATTTGTTTGTTAGAGCAAAATGGCAAAAACACCTTTATTAATTAAAACAGTAGGCGGGAAACGTAAACAGCGTACTGGTATTAGTTTTTTCCACCTTCTAGTTCATTAGTTCTAAGTCACGGAATACATACAGCTATTATGTAGATTGAAAATAAAACGACCATAAACAATCAACAACAAATTAAAAACGTTATACGTCACTTTGACAGTTGACATTGCGCTTTTTCTTGCCGTGGTATTGGCACACAGATTAAAAAGTCCGTAACTTAAGGGAATATTAATGCGTTTTAAAGGTGAAAGTAGTTTTTTAAAGTTGCCATTTCAAAAATATCGCGTGTCGCTTTCTTATTTTAATGCTTTTTAAATACAAATGACCGATCAGTTACATTATAACCGATAATATCGTGACCGAGGTCAATTCCCGGGCGTAGAAAATAAATCGGTCAACTATCAACGTATATTAATGCGTAGATATGACCATCGTGTTAGCTTTTTTACACAACTTACATAATAAATTAACCAAGCATCATTAACTATGCACTTAATCCAACCATCCATCCAATTAAGTATAGTAATGGTATTTTTAATACTGGCAATGATAAAATGTTAGCATTACCATCATAATAGTTTTCAGATGCGTCGATTTATTCTTAGTTTTTTTCTCAAAACTCAAACAGCGTGTCCGTATCTTATTCAGAGAGCCATAAATGGAATACAAAACAAGATTGCAATTAAAAACAAAGTGTTCGCGTGAAATGGAACGCAGCAGTAACACTTGTTTTTCATATTTGAAAATCGAACGTGTTAAGTTCAAACGGCCGAAAGTTGGCCGTAAATGGCTGTACGCGGCGTGAAAATCTATTTTCAATGGGCACTATCGGCAAAGGACAGCGAGGCTTTACGTTCAAAGTTAGCCCTAACCCTCATACAGCTCTTAGTTTAGAGCAAATTTTAATATTCAATTGGCCTTTTGTTTGGGAATTGTTAGAAAATTGCGTGTAACGAAACGGAAACACGGATAATTAGAGCAGAATTTAAGTTAGACAAAGGTGATGTGAGCGATATATTTGACATTTAATGCATTTAGAGAGATGACTTTGAAACTGCTTATCTCTTATAAAGATTAAAACAGCGAAAAGCTTGTAAAATGTTGTGAAAAGTAAGGTTATTATATAAGTCCAATAGCCGCGTGTGTCTGTATAAATGCGATAAACTCAAAAACTACCGGATGATTAGGTAATCAATAGATAACTGATTCTCTCTCTACGCAAATCCATTGCGTCTCTATGAGTATTCTACAAAGTGTACTATGGAGAGCGTTCTGAAGAGATGTTTGGCCTGATCCCTCCAGAGTTTCAACTCCATATGAGCCGTATTAACTCTTAATTTCATCCGCATCACCTTGGCTGGAAGTATTCCACGGTCCGCTTCCCAAGACAATTACTTTTCCGAACTAGCGAACTGTGGAATCAACTCCCGGTGGTCGTCTTCCTTGGTAGACCACTAACAGTTTAAAAAAATAGCTACCTCCTCCCTCCAAGACCGGTAACCTAACCACTAAAATAGGTGTAGGCTGCAATAAATGCTCTTTTTGGGTGGTCCTGTGCTTTAAAAAAATATTTAAAGAGTTAAATTATGATTTTATATTTGTGAATTGTGAATTTACACAGCGATAACATATTAAAACGATTCATTGATTGGTTTATTACGTGAAAACAAGTTAATATACTCCGATTTATGTATATTTAACCTAAAAATACATATTGTAACTAAACAAAGATATCCGGCATATAGACTGATTCTAACAGTTTCAATTTTCTTTAACAATGACAGACTTAAAATTGCAATCAAGACTATGGCATGTTGGTAAAGCCATGAATGCTGGAAAGTTACGATCTATAATTATGTTAGTAATATTAATTAGTCACCATTAAGTGTTATAATTAGTCGATTAAAAGGACTAAAACAAGGAAAGTTTTACAAGCGGCTGAAATAAATAAGCTCGCACATTAAAACATTAATAACGGATAATCACGTAATAATCACCCCAATAAAAATATTTATACTTTATTATCATGAAAACATACCATAATGCAAAAGTATTTAACGATTAACAAGTTCTTTGTTCGTTTCGCTGGCGCGTTTAGACCAATCACTGCCATCTACCGTGCAGTAGCGGAATCTTAATCCGCGAATTGCCAACATAGACACGGCATAAACGCTGAAATTATCACAACACAATTATCAAATTACGATTACCACGAGACATACAATCTAAGCGGCAATTATTACCGGGTAACCTCTACAAAGGGTACAAAAACGAGAGCAACGCTAACCACTTAGAAAGCGCCTTTGAAAAACTAAATGGCCGGTTAAAGAGCGTTTATGCTGAAATAACTTGCAAAAGCGCAGAAAAACTGCGGTATGCGAGTAACAATGTACGCGTAACGCCATCTGTTGTCGAGTGGCGGTAAACCGGCAGGGGTCAAGAAATTATTTCGCCAAGAATGCCCGCCGTCTCGCGGCTGCTTTGATGGCTTCCGACGAAGCAATCAGACCTCTTTACGGGCATATTTATGATTATAATACCGTGTCTCATTATATACTTTATGATTTTATACCTAACTGGCCGTCCAAGTATTTGTTTCGCTTGTCGCGTAAACGACCCGACAAGGACAAGTGATCGGATCTTTCGTTTTTAACACCAGACATTAATTCCTCACTAATTATTTATTAATTACTTCACATAAACGTAAAAATATAACACGGGTTTAATTAACTATAACTATAGACTTCATACGCAATAAATTTCGAAGTATGATTCAATATCAAAACCATTTCTCCTTCAGACATCCTAATAC